TGAATTGGGTTTGCTGACGTAGTTAGATAATTGACTATTTAGCTGTCAATCAAAGAGTTTCTTGATCGATTGCGTAGTTTTTCGTGCATTGAAAAATGTACAATTAAATGGAGATTCTTGTCTTATTTTAATTTTTTATTTGTGCAAAAGTATAAAGGCACTTCAAGATCAAAAAACATTTTGAATTGTTTAGACAAGGCCCTAAAAGCGGCAGTTTCATAATTGGTTTGCCAAAATTTGTTCTGGTGATTTTTCACTCAAAGATAAAAGCTGCTTACCTGATAAATTATATAATTGCGTTTTATTGTATTTAACTTTAAACAAAATTATCTGCTCACGCAAAAGAGAATAGAATATGTTAACAAAAAATGATGCGTAAGACATAATTTTCGAAAAAATAATAAAATCAATATCACTGATAGTATATGTGAGAAATAATGGACTTTTATTCCAGATACCCAGACATTATAAATCTATCCACACATAAATATTTAATATATTTTACTATAATCATTAAACTTTTAATGACATCTATAATTTTATTTTGCACCTATGTCGTGCCCGAGAGCAATGCGATCCTTCTATGAAACAACATCAAACTCAAATACATCACGCGATCCATTAACACGAAGAACAATTTCAATGTCGCTGGAAAAGCACACCGAGACAAATCTATTTACCAGCAAACATAGCAATATGGGTATGATATTCATTTATTGTGAAATTGAAAACATTGCAACTCCAGGGAAAGCAGGGGTTGGTTTCTTTGTCAAACCGTAAATATTATATAATATATAGTTAGAGATCATTCCTACTAGCAATAAAAATGTTTTGAATTTTCAACATAATGTATATAATTATATTATCCTGAATTTAAAAATCGGTTTGAAGTAAAGATTTTTCCTAAAAGGCAATATTTCTGTAAAAAAATTGGTAAAACAAATATCATAAAATTTTTGCATATCTACTGTAAATTTATTAACTTCCCGTAGGGCAAGTTATAGTAATTGTCAAGAAATCGAAAATATTTTTTTTTGCATATCTCTACGTTTCAGAGGTGCCTGAAAATTTTGGCATACTTTAGGAAAAGTGAATGTATGTGCGAGTGTGTGTGTGAGAGAAAGAAAGTGTTTTGTGTGGATCAATTTTTCATCCACGATTTCGGGCGCATGGTACAACTGATTTGAATTATTCAGAAAACATTCGATTTCTATTGATGGGTGCTGATTAGTTTTTGGCAAAGACAGGTCCAGCCGTTTTGGAAAAACAGAGCAAAAAATCAGAAAATAGTGTTTGTAAGAGAATGGGCGATTGATTGTTTGAAAATAATGCGATTCCTGATGCGGAGACGTATCGGATATATCCGATCAGAAAATTATAATTTTCGGCAAAGACATGTCCAGCCTTTTTGGATATACACAACAAGTCTGTCCATACGTTTTAAAGGGACGGAGCAAAAAATGCAAAAATTAGCAGTTTTTCAGCATCCGCTAAAAATTAATAAAAAACAATAGGTTTGTATGCTTTATTATATAGGTGATATTTATTCGTAAACTTTTATAGAGGTTATATTATAAAGGTTGAATAAGAATAACAATACACCTTAATAAAATAACAAATACTTAAAAATTATATTCGTGTATCGTAATCTATATAAAAAAGTTCAAAGCAAAAAAACTACCAACGAAAAAAATACTTTTGTTACGAATATTGATGCATGACTGTTTATCTCCTGATAGGACTTTGCAGAAATTAATGTGATGGCTGGTTATGCATATTTTGCCATCTACTTTCAAATTGATTGGTGTTAAAAAGTTCCGAACTTTACAGGTTTTTGAGATAACGTTGGTGAAACTTTTTACCATTTCACAATACAATTGCTCAAAGTCAAATGGGACCTTTGCCTATATAATGCAATTTTATCTTGTATAAAACTCAATTAAATTCACAACAAGTACTTATTTATTTTCATCAATTGTTGCAGCTTTATATTAGTTTAGCTTCATTTATATTCATTGTTCATCATTAAGCAGTTGATATCTTAATGAGTTCGGCTTATGTCGTTATTACTAAACTTAAATGATTTTTATATAGCAGCATGTACATTGATTGATTTATTTATAAATTCCTTATTATAACTAGTATTTTGTTCAGCATTGTGGTCCTAATCTTTTATCACCGTAAATAAATGTTTCCAATTTTTTATAACCCAATACAAAATCAAATTCCCGCAATTCGGCAGCCCTGCCTTCCCGTCAATATAAAAGCAAACCTCATACGCACTTGGCTTCACAGGGTGTAAGAAATTTATTGCGTGTTAAATCGCACGCAACTGAAACGTTTATCATATGTGAAATAGTGACATACGAACCTATATATGTATATAAACACTTGTATGTATCAAGGACGCTATAGTGGACATCCTGTTTAATTTTAACGATGATTGACAATCCTGTGTCAAGTGACCATTACCTGCTCACCAGAAGAGTTGATGCAACTTTTGATTGTTTCCTACATGACGCAACTGAAAACAGACACTTGTGGAAATGGACGTATAAAGAGATTCTTTCAACAGAAGTTCAAAAATATTAAGTAGGAGAGACTGGGTACAGTTGTGTTAGGGTATTGTAGTAACAGTCGTCATGACAGTTAAAATATACTGATTCTAAGAAAGGGCCAAAGGGAAGGAAGATGTTGTATGTTTGTTTAAACAAGTTCCATTATTGCTTTCAGTCGGCGCCCTACGCGTTACATGATCTATTAACGTGTCAAGTTTTCATATTCGATTTCTTTTAATAACTAGTGGGACGCATGGCATCGTGCCTTAAGGCAAATTGCTGGAACTTCCCGTACTAAAAATTGTTTTTTTTTTAAAAGATTAACATTTTTGAAAAAAAAAATTACTTTGAAAAATTAGATTTTTGAGAAACTATAAATTTTTGACAAAAATTTACTTTTTAAAAAAAAAAGGCTTTTTGAAGAGAAGTGTATTTTCGGAAACTCTGAACTTTTTTTCAAAGCAACGGTACTGCTTTAACTGCATAGAGACGAAATACTTATTGTTAAAATCTCTATAAAATATCTGATAATTTCTTGTGCATATGTCTAATGATCATTTTTGACCGCCAGATGGCAGTTTTTTTTACTTTTTTCACTAGATCTCTGAAACCGCTAGACCTACCTTCATGAAAATTTGATGAATTTTTCATCTTGTCAATACAAGTAAAATGTTTTTTAAATTATTAAAATCGGACGCTTTGTTCTCTTAAAAACTGAGTTACCGTTTTTGGCACTTTTTGAACCGTATCTTCGGAACGGCTAGACTTGCCTTCGCCAAAAACTAATCAGCACGTCTCCTTATCAATACGAATCGAATGTTTTTTGAATTATTCAAATCGCTTCATCCGTGTTCCCGAAATCGTCGACGAAAATTTGTAACCGAACACACACACATACACGCACGTACACACACACACACATATACATCCATTTTTTCTAAGGTATGCCAAAATTTTCAGAAACCTTTGAAACGTAAAGATATATAAAAATTTTCATTTTAGATTTTTTTGCGATTAATATAACTTGCAATACGGGAAGTTAAAAACTACTAATTGTACTACATATACAGATATATCACTTTGTTATTTTGCTATAAGTTGAACATTAGCAGTTAATTGCCAGCAATTAGTTTTTCCATAGATAATTTAACTCAATCATAACGTTGGATGCAATTGTGACAAATTTTGTGGGTACTGTTGTGACATGTAATCCTTGTCCTTTTTGAGTGTAAAAAAATTAATGAGTGCAAAAGAGGAAAGGAAAGGAAAATTCAATATAAGATAAAACTTTTTTACAAAAATTACTTATTAACTTTGTTTAAAACAACATTCATAATCTTTATTTAAATGATTAGGCTGTGTTGTGTTATATTTCTGACAATAAAGTGGTTTCTGACAATAAAAGTTATTTTGGTGTTTGTACCTATTGTTTCGTAAGTATTTTTATGTCTATTATAACCGATCCTGGAGGTGTGGACGGTTGTGCCACCCGGCCTCTTCTAGCATGATTTGATTTTATGAATAATCCATCGTATTTAAAAAGAGTATTTTAGTATATTATTGTAGACAAATGTTCAAATTACCTTTTTTTCTTTCCCAGCTATATGATAAATTAACAAAATTTTTGCTGATAAGAAAAGTGGCACAACCTTACCCAGTCTCTCCTACTTAAAAATGTAGAAATAATTAACTATCTTTAGATTTACCATTGCTACACGTACATATAGAAGAGTTTTTTTTTTAATTATAATGTACGGAAAGGTTATGTGTGTTTAAAAAGGGTCTTACTTTTATCAAAGGCTTGTTTTGAAAAAGACTATAGAGGAAAATTTAGTTTTATATTCTTATGTTAGAAATATCATACCAACACTTCATAACGTGAGAATTTGTATTCTAGAGTTAGTACACAGTTGCAAAATTTTAATAATTGTTATTTCTGTTATTTTGTTATCTATGATGTAAAAAGAAATAATAACATAGCGCACTTTCTCATACCATGGAGTATTAGTGTTGTAATTTTACAAAAGGTATGGTTGTCAAATATTTTAAATTTTTTAAATAATCGATACATTTTTTTTGTAAAGACAGATGTATAAATTCAGTTCATGTGTGTGTAATTTTTGAGACAAAATTTATTAATTTGTTTTAAAACATGGTATCAAATTCAATTTTATTACTTTGTTCGAAGGGCCATTTTTCATAACGATAGAATCGAATTTAAAGGAAAACCATAGCAACAAAAATGAGCTCAAAATACATAATGTAGAAGGAAACACATGTAAGATAATATAATATTAATTTTAAGATTGAATTTTTATTTGCTTCTCATTAGTATAATGAATGGGATATAAAAATAACTCTATTATTTCTCATGCTCATAGATCTCAAAATTTTTGTAGTAGATCTTCAATTATCTATTAACCCAAATAATTTTATTTGCAGATTTCGCTCCAGACAATGTATTCTTGCATACCCTTCTTGATTGTTCTGGTGTCAATCCTGACACCAGAATCAGGAGCACAACAGGCGGCGATGATCAAATCTAGGTATGATAATCAGATGGTGACTTCTACGACTCTTCAATGGCGACACGCAGGAACTAATGGGCATATAACCGATTTATGGAAGGAAGGAGTTATAGCTGGCCAAGATATTCTTGGTAAGAATATTGTCAATATTGTTTATTGTTTATTGAAACGATTTACTTATGTGTGTAGTTGTGACACGCGACTGGAATACTTTTTACTACATTAGAACATTTCCACGTGCGCTAATACTATTAAAAGTAATTTGAGTTCAATAATTACATATAAATTAATAAAATTATTACAAAAACAATAAATCCTGAAATATTGATTATAATATATCGTTTATATTATAAATGATATAAAATATATTGTAATACGGTTTTACAGAATTTTTTGTAATATATATTACGTAAAAATGTTAAAACATGTAATAGAATTTTTGTTAACAAATCTCATAATTGTTATCAAAAATTCGATTACATATTTTAACATTTTTCGTAATATATATTACGGAAAAATGTTAAAAAATGTAAATTTTTGTTACCAATCATGAGATTTGTCTACCCTATATAGGGAAAGGCCAATTTGATTTTGAGCAATTATATTGTTTTTTTCTGTTTTTAAAAAATTTGTCACCTGGTCCTTTTTACCACATAGGCGGAGTAAAATGTAACGGCCAAGGGGCAAACATGTCTAAAGTCTTAGTTTTAATTTTAAAGGGATTTTACGAAATAATAGCTACATTTATTGAACCAATGCAAAATATAAATTTCATGGCTGCAAAATTTTTTACTTTGACCTGATATTTCGTTAAAAATATTCATCAGCAGAGTTGGAATAACTCTTTAGTTAATTTATTTCTTGTAAAATTGATTTGTTTTTAACTTGATTTACTTTTTTAACTTTCGTAGGGTAAGTTATAGTAATCGCAAAAAATTCTAAAATGAAAATTTTTATATATCTTTAAGTTTCAAAGGTTTCTGAATATTTTGGCATACCTTAGAAAAAATGGATGTATGTGTGTATGTGTGTGTGAGGATACAAATTTTCGTCGACGATTTCGGGAACACGGATCAACCGATTTGAATAATTCAAAAAACATTCGATTTGTATAGTTAAGGAGGCGAGTTGATTAGTTTTTGGCAAAGGCAGATCTAGCCGTTCCGAAGATACGGGACAAAAAGTGCCAAAAACGGTAACTCAGTTTTTAAGAGAACGGTGCGTTCGATTTTAATAATTCAAAAAACGTTTTACTTGTATTGATAAATTGAAGAACTGATTAAATTTTTGGGAAGGCAGGCCTAGCGGTTATAGACTCTCAATAAAAATAAGTTAAAAAAATGTCCTTAAGCGGTCAAAAATGTTTATTGGACTTATGCACATCAAATTATCAGATATTTTATAGAGATTTTTATAATGTGTACACATTTTGTGTAATTTTTTTTGGGTTCCGTACCAAGATTTTTAATTTTGAAGTTTATTTATATGGTTCAAACAAATGTTATCGACATTTTCGACAATATGGAATAAACGATTTGCATGATTAAAAAATCATTCGGTTTGTACACAATCGCGAGGCGTTTATGCAAAAGGTATTATAATTTTTCCGTTTCGGAGGTATGGAGCACAAAGGGTGTAAAAACGGTTATGCAGTTTTTGTGAGAACGGATCATCCGATTAAATTAATTCAAAAAACATTTTGCTTGAGTAGACGGTGTGAAAAAAATGCATTCACAAATAATTTTGTAATATTGAAAGTTTTCAAAAAAAAAATCTAAATTTTCAAATAAATCAAAGTTTCAAAAAATTCAAATTTTCGAAATTTTTTATCATTTAAAACAAACTAAATTCTGAAAAATTAAAAAAAAATGATTTATTACAAAAATTTGAGAATATTTGAAAATTTTCAAAAATATCGAATATTTTCATACATTTCCAAATTTTCAAAAAAAATTTAAAAAATCTTTTTTTTTTATTCCAACAAATTTCAAACTTCTAAAATAATTATCAAAAAATTTTTAGGTTTATGATTATTTTCATTCCTCGAATGTTTAATTACGTTACAGGAAGTTTCAGCAATTTCAGCAAAATCCCAGAGTAAATGTTCAGTTTACTCACATGTTGGCTCGCATGTAGGCCTTTAAAGAGGTTATAAAAAAAGGGTGAATCCAACTTAAAAATAACAATGCATCTTATAGAACAACTTAATAACGTATGCATAAAAATTATATTTAGTCCTAGTAAACTAAGAATCAATTGATTCTTACGACATTGCTACCGGGAGATAAACAGCAATGTGTGAAAATCCACAAAAAAAGTTTTTTTTCGTTGTTAGTTTAATTTTATTTTGAGCACTGTTGTTTAGTTTACTAGGACCGTATAATTGTTCTATAAGATGTATTGTTATTTTTGAGTTGGATTCACTGTTTATTTATATAACCTCTTTAAGGCCTAAGCCATTAAGGTGATGGCTGGTTATACATCTTTTTCCCACTACTTTCGACTATTATTGTTAAAAAATTCGTAATTTTATTTGTTGTTGAGATACCTGCAGTCCTTTAAGCCCCTATGTACCCTAGTATATTTTATACTAGATGTGTACACGTTGCTATAATTTTTATGAAAAAATATTTTGTAAAATATTTTATAGATACAACTTTATCTAAAAATACATGCAACGATAAATACTTTTATTGATTTCATTATTGTTTTTTGAATCCAACGTGATAAATCGTTTCGGCAATGAAACTCCATGAGCATTAAAGTTCGAATTATATAACAATATGTTTATTGCATGCTGTCAAGTAAAAAATATATGGCGAATACAAGATTCATTAGAACACGAATTTATAACTAAAACATAATAAAGACTTAGAGAGTAATTTAGTAGTAAAAAAGAACGTATACACTGCTTTCATTATATGTAATCTATAAACATCAAACTATTATCTATTTAAGTGCCATTATATATTTGAAATTTCCGCTTAATATATGAATGATTCATTTCCAAAAAATGTTTAACTTCCCGTAGGGTAAGTTAAAGTAATCGCAAAAAAATCGAAAATGAAAATTTTTATATATCTTTACGTTTCAAAGTTTTCTGAACATTTTGGCATACCTTAAAAAATGGATGTGTTTGTGTGTGTATGTGTGTGTGTGTGACGATTTCGAGAACACCGATCAACCGATTTCAATGAATCAAAAAGCAATCGATTCCTATTGATAAGGAAACGAAGCAAAGAGTGCAGAAAATAGAAATTGAGGTTTTGAGAGAACGGAGTATCCGATTTGAATGATCCAAAAAGCATTCAATTCGTAATGATGGGGAGTAGTAGTGATTAGTTTTTGGACAAGGCAGATGCAGCGGTTTCGGAAATACGGAGCTAAATGTGCAGTTTTTAAGAGAACTAAGCATCTGATTTTAATTATTCAAAAAACATGCTGCTTGTGATGACAATCTTAGGGAAAGATTTTCTTTTTATATATATATATCTATTTTTTTTTTTTGAAAATCGAAAATAATTTGGATTTTTTAATTCTGGTTAAAGTTCTAAAGCTCACTTCAACTTCAAATAAATAATTTTAACTTTCAGTTCAGTTCATCTATTTCTTATAAATGTTAGACAATATGTCCTTCATTTTAAATCCGATTTATTAAATTCATTTACTTTTCTGTATACATCTACAAACGTCGGTTTTATAGATGTCAATGCAAATAGTTGTTACATCTTTGTGTGATTAATTTTATTATCAAAATTCCTGTGATGCTGATGAATTTTTATTGATGCAGCAATGTCGGATATGGGCTATTTTCACTTGCAAACATCTCCAAGTGAAAACTGACGTCCATACTGCTTGGCATCAGGCTGCTCAAACTGGTTTTCAAAACCGGAGTCCGATCCACTTACAAGATGTAGATTTAAATTGATTTTTTTTTAAATTTTAGCTAATAATTGAATGTAATTGAATTGAATTGAATGAAAAAAAAATCTTTTCCCAAAAACAATCGTTTCGTCAACACAAGCAGAAAGTGTTTTGAATAATTCAAATCGAATGCTTAGTTCTCTCAAAAACTGCCATTTTTTGCATATTCAGCTCCGTATCTTCGAAACGGCTAGACCTGCCTTTGCCAAAATCTAATCACCACTTCTCACTATTATTATGAATTAAATGTTTTTTGGATCATTCAAATCGGATGTTCTATTCTCTCAGAAACTCGATTTTTATTCTCTGCACTCTTTGCTCCATAAAAACCTAATCAGCACATCTCCCTATCCATAGGAATCTAATATTTTTTTAACCATTCAAATCGGTTGACAAAACGTGGACAACACATTGTATCCATAATAACACAAACATCATTTTTTCAAAAGCATTCCAAAATGTTCAGAAATCTTCAAAACGTGAAGATATCCAAAATCTCGGTTTTTGGACGATTAGTACAAGTACAACTTACCTACGGGAGTTAATAATATTTCTAAGCATTAGCATTTTATTATTCGAGGGAATCTAACTTACACGAAACTGTGCACCAAACTCTTCAACAACAAAAGTTGTTTATAATTTTATTATCCGACAATAAATGAGATCAATTTATCACCGTTGGTGCTATCTTCCAAATAATATAAAGAGTTCATCTGAAGACGGTTCTTGTGATGTGGCAAATGATTTATGAAAAAAACTTACAAGTCGTTTATTTACTTACAATGATCCCGCAGGCATTGAACAAATGAACTTGACTCCGCGTTTAATAATGCAAGCCTACGGACTGCGCTCTCACTTACGAAATATTTTTCAAATTCGTTTAGATATTCGTTGACTTTAGTGGCGAAAGACATAACATAGGAAATCGATATCAATATAAAGAAATATTGTAAGCTAGTAGTGGTAGACTTCATAAACAATAAATAAATTTCATTCCATAATAAATTAATTGAAAAATTTAACTTGGATGATCACATATTCTAGATAAGGGCGCACAAGTGATATTATATGTTTTCACAAGTCATATTTGTAAAAAAATAGTAGTATTTAGAGATATTGTTCAAGTTTTATTCGTCAAAATTATTTCAGGGTACTAAAAAAGGATTTCTACATAAACATTTTATTAGTCATTGAATCACTTTTATTT